AATTGTAGTATGATAATGAAATAGTATTTATACCCTTACTTGGGACCAAAGGGGATTTCACCTGATGTATGGCTTAATTAGAGTTCCCTCCAGAGAAATCTGTACAGAAAAACAACAATAAATGTTCACTGTGCAATTTGGTGTTCATTTCTTGAACATACTTTCTAGAGAGTATCTATTATTGCCAATGAGATCAATTATGTTTCCAGTCTAGAGAATGAAGTTTAACTCAGTAATTATGAAGCAATTTAAATTTTTGTTGAATTTTATGGTATTTTGTTATTATTTTTGTATTTGTTATTTTTAAAGTCCTCAACTCTAAGCTCTTGCTTGGTGTTTTGTTTTGTGATTTCAACAAAAGTTCCACAGATTGTTTTTATTTTATTACAACGAATCAGTTGGTATCAGCATCACTAAATAAGGGTTATTGGAAATTTCCAAGTTTGATGAAATTAAACTAATTTATCCAACATAGGAAAGAAATGTGTTTTGACTTTGTCCTCAAGAAACCAAAACCTTGTTTAGCCTCAAAAATCCGAATTCCACTTAGCAAAATATTTCTTTCATCACTGAAGAATTTTCAGTGTTGAAAATTCAATGGTGCAGAGATTAAGGCAAGTAATTGCTGAGGTTAATAGATTAATTCATAGCTATTATGGAAAGTGGTGCCTGGTGTTCCCTTTTTGCTTCTTGTCCCTTATGGCCCCCCAGTTATCATGCAGGTTGTAAGTACCACGGACCTCTGGACTTCCTAGCATATTTTGGATCACCTGTGGTCCACAACAGCTGTTATGCAAAAAATATCCTATGCTCTTAAAATTCAGTGTGGTGGGAGTTGACATACTACACAGCTAGGCGGAGCCTGCTAGATGTTCCTTTTTCTGAGGACTGAGCAGAGACTGGCTTTCTAGTGAGGTCTCTAATGGGTTCAGCATGAACCAACACTCATGTGCAAAAGTATTCTGTAGCGGCTATTGTTGAGAGAGCAGTGAAACATAAGCTGACTGATATTTCATTTGCACATATGGTTTTAGTAGAGTCAAAGCACACCCTCCATTCCAAAACACAAGCAGCTTTGACTGAAAATCTGATGGCCTGGCCAATCAGAAGCAAAGGGGCACTAGAGACAGCAGCAGCTTTACAGAGAAATGTGATTAAAAAAAAGTATTGTGCAACATTACAACATACTATCCCAAATGGCAATATATTTAGTTTTTAAATTAGGATATACAATTACGTTTTTTTGTTTGACTTGAAAAACAACAATTTGGTAAAAGTTTATGAGACAGTTGATAATAAGAAATATATTCAGGGTTTTAATTAAGAAAGCTCATCTGAAAATAGTATTACTTGAAATGACTATTACATTTTGTGAGTTCCAATATTTATGTGAAAATTTAATGGTTTCTAGAAATGTAATTTGAAATTGGTATTGACAAATGGAATCTTCTGAAGGTAGAATTTGAGCACATTTCCTGCATTGGGATTTTATCTAGCTTTCAACCAACTCCAAAAGAAAGCCTCGTCACCTTGGGATACATAGACTTTCCCACTGTGCTTAACTTCAGCAACATGCACAAAGACACTTACTTTAAAGGAAACATTGTATATATTTTAAATCCATAACAATTTGAATAAAATATTTTGCTCTGCTGTAACCTCTTAATGAAGGCTTACAGTTTAGCATATCTCCTGCCAGGACAGAAGCATTTCCCAATAAGTGTACAGCATTGAGAGAGTAGTGGGGAAGGTAATGTGTTCTGTTCACAGCCAGGGATCCCTGGTCAATTGTAGGAAAAGGTCAGATCATGCATCTTCAATGTATATTTACAGTTTTCTATTCCCCAGCTGAAAGCTATACTGTGTCCATTTCTGAATTTAGTTCCAAAACCAGAGAAGGAATTTTTGAAAACTATTTGGAGTAAATGATTGGACATAGTGCATTGATCGGTAGAGAAAAATCACTATTCCTAAGCTTTTGATCCAAGTAACTGAGTATAGACCATGTTTATAAAAGAATGGTCAGATAAGAATAAACATTACTAGAAACAAAAACATATTATAGACTCTAAATTAAACTGTGATTTCTCATTTCAATCTAATCCCATACAGCATGAATTATGAGTGTTTCTGAAAAAAATGGAGAAAAGACTGGATTTAAAGATGAATCAAGGAAATACTACAATTTTGAAGACAAAAGAAATGTTTAAGAGGGAATGAGGAATTGTGTCAACCATTTTCTAAAAGTAATGAACAAAGTTGCTTTAAATTATCTATTGATGTTTATCCAAGTGTTGGTCATCGAAAAGCACAGAAAAGAACAACTTGAGAACTAGGCAAGAACATGAATCACATTGAAGTTATTTACAAGTAAATAGAAGTTAAGAAAGGAAAGAAAAAAATAAAAGAAAGAAACTACTGTGAGCAATACACTAGAGGAGGACAAATACAGTGTGATAGAAAAAAGAAAGGATAGGGTAAGATTGATTATTGTTATCACTTACTATTGTATTTTAAGATGGAAAACCAAGGAGGAGTCCTAGCAATCTACTTCTGAAAAGAATTGGTCAGTGGAATGTTGTCTAATATTGTGCCTGAAAAGGAGTGCCTCCAATTGGAAGCCCCTCAAAATAAGCCTAAGGAAATCTGTATCCTCAACTAGAGTTGTTTAAATGACATGATTGGAGCAGAGCTTTTTGGACCTTCATTTGCTGAGGTCAAAATGAGAGGATGCAGCAGACAACATCTATGAATACACAAAACATGGAATATATAAAGTATGAATCAAGAAAATGGAGAGTCTTAAAAAAATGAAATAAAGAATGATAACTCGGTGTTAGTAAACTGTGATCAAGTGGTATTGGCCATCTTTAAATGAGCAATCCTATAGCCAATTATTATGGAAATGACAAAGAAGAAATGTCATTTCAATCTTGGCCAAACAGGACATTTCTTGATCTACCCTGAAGTGAAATGTCAGTAACAAGAAAGTATCCACTCCGCACTCCCCCCATCATTCACTGTGGTAAGATTTTTTGTTCTGATGATGCCTTACACCTGATCCCTTCGACACCTCGTGGTTGCATAGGCTGGTGTGCTTCTTCCATGTGGGCTTTGTTGCTTCTGATCTTGATTGCGGAGTGGAGATCCAAAGCCCATTAGTAGGCCACTGGAGATCCCCTTGCAGAGGGGTCTCGGGGAGGAGATGAGCCAGTCAGGGTGCGATGTAACAATGATGAGAAATACAACTTTCCTCTAGTTCCTAAATGTTTCCTCCCCGCTCCCACTACCATGACTCGAATTCTATCTTGCAAGACTGGCTAGACCAGAGGAGGTACACTGGTACAGATAGGAACTGAAAATACAGGGAATCCAGGACGGACGAGCCCTATAGGACCAGTGGTGTGAGTGGCAAAACAGGGAGGGTAAAGGGAGAATGGGTAGGAAAGAGGGAACCGATTACATGGAACTGTGTGTGACCTCCTCCCTGGGGGACAGACAACCGAAAAGTGGATGAAGAGAGACATCAGACAGGGCAAGATATGACAAAATACCCATTTATAAACTATCAAGGGCTCATGCAGGAGGGGGGAGATGGGAGGGAGGGGAAAAATGAGGACCTAATGTCGGGGGTTTAAATGGAGAGAAAATGTTTTGAGAAACAATGTACAAATGTGCTTTACACAATTGATGTGTGTATGGATTGGGATAACAGTTGTATGAGCCCCTAATAAAATGTTAAAAAAAAATAATAAATTATTTAAAAAAAAGAAGAAAGTATCCACATTCCTACCAAAAGACCAGTTATTAGGATTATTATACACCAAGCACTAATGCCAAAGGTGAGGAAAATGACTTTTTTTTTAAAACTAACTTCTGTGATCTGAAATTTATCAAACAGGCATCAAGATGTATTGATAATATTTATCATGGGAACAAAAAAGTTAGGGACAAAGGAAAACCATCAAAACTTGGAAAATGTAGTCTT